CGCCGCTTGCAGAACTAATGCACGAGAATTCTATTTGGTTAATGGATGCGGAGGGAAGTCAATTTATGACCCAAGATGGTACTTTGTATCGTCCTTAGAAGAGTGTATGGACTGTCACTGCCTCGACAACCATGTTTCGACTACCTTTTTTTGTGTTCCAAAAGAGTGTATGCGTGTTCCAAAAGAGTGTATGCGTGTTCCAAAAGAGTGTATGCGTGTTCCAAAAGATGTGTATTGCTACCCCAAAAGATGTCTATAGAAGGGAGGCGATTYACCGCCCTTCCAACTTGCACCCAAAAAGAGTGCGACAGTTGTCCAACGAGGACCACATTCGTAGTATTTGCTTCTCCCTCTATATATAGAGATGGACTCCCAAAAGACTATTTCGACAACATTGCAAGAGATGGGAATACGTGCGAAGAGTAGGCTGTTGGCGCATTTGCTGTTGGACAATGCCCACGATGGAAACCTGCTTCCAGACATATCCAAATGCGACTACTTGCGCGGAAACGAAGGCCCCACCAGTTTGCAGCCGCTGCATGGCCTACCGCCGTTCGTAGATGATGTGTTCGTGTATGGGTTTGTAGCAGAAGAGGATTTGTATGGGYGGGTGTGCAKAAATGCGAAGGCAATAGTATCCAAAATATCCATTGCGGCCACGGAAGCGTTTGGGGTATTCCTGCCGACCAGCATGGCGCACACATGCAAAAAAGGAAACATAGTAGACCGCGTGGCCCATTTGTCCAACAAGTGGAACAGCCTGCACGGCGAACACGCAGCCWCCTTCGTAGCCAAAGTMGACACCTCCGAGTTGTCCATAGAAGTTGTAGACAAAAGCATTGCCAAGTTTGCCAGGCTATTGGATACGCACGGATATGGAATCTATTCCGTGGACTACACGCAGGATTTCTCTGGTACTTTGGACAGAGCTGCATTGGTGCGCCGACTGCGGCAAATGGGCTACAAAGAACAAGGAGAGGCTGGTTGGCGCGAAGGCACCATCTTGGACAATACGCACCAAGTAGGCAACCACGTTTGCACTTGGGTGGAAAAGGGCAAACGAACGAAAATATACAACAAAGTGGTGTCGAACTTCGAAGCCGGAGAAGTGCAAAACCCCGTAGGCGCAAAGCTGGCCGAGTATGTGGATTGCCCCAACGACCATTTGCGTAGGACTTTCCTACATCCCGACGTGCAGAAAAGAGGATGTACGCGCGTGGAAATATCCATCTACAGCAGGGATTTCTCCAAAGAACACACCAATGCTATCGTGGAAACCATAGCGCCGCTAGAAGACATATTCGTGGTGCAGCCGCCAAAAAACATGTGGTTGGCACTTGCCGAACATTTGGACAGATGCTGCTGCATTTGCTGCGAAGAGACGGGAGAAATATTCCTTGCTTGGTACTGCCACGCAGGAACGGGTAGAATAGCAGGCGTGCGAGTGCGGGGCAGCGACAAATGGGAACAGTGCGTACTTTGGACCATAGCAGAGTTCGGCTTGCGCAGATGCCCCATATTTCGCATAGACGTAGGAGAATTGGATCCGGTGGAAATACTACCGCTGCGCTGCTACACCAAAGATGCCCCTACGGTGCTAGCGGAGTCCAAGTTCCCTACGCGCGTGCATGCGAAGGCACCTACTATAGCAGACTTTCTGCCTGCAACGGAACACGTGGAGTGGATATGGCGTACCAAGAAGGCGCAGCGTTTGGGTGTGGAAAAGAGTGCCTTTGGCCTCCTGGAAGTGCCTACGGATAGGAGGATATCCTTCCTATCCAAGCRAAAACGGCAGCAAAGATTGGAAGACATACGGGACGACTTGGAAGGCGACGAGTGGGTCGAAGCCACAAAAAGATACCACGCAGAACTGCAGGAGCAGCGGCAGAACATCCTGCGGCAAAAGGAAGAAGACAGGCGAAAGATAGAAGAAGAGATGCAGAAGTACGAAAAGACGTTGKATAGGATTCGCAAGCGTTCCACCGCTATGCACAAGCTGCTCTTCGAAGCAAATACGAAGGTGCATAGGATGGACGAAATACCCGCAGGCGACTACAAAATACTGGGCTACGTAGAGCCGCGGAACAAAGACCCCGATTGGCCTGCAAGAGGACACCGCGTAGTTCTGCGCCGTGGTAGCGAAGCGTCGGTGGTTTGGGCAACGACGGCAATGCTGGACGCATTTGCGGTGGGAAAGTTCGAAAGCTGTGGCTGCGTGCGCGTGGCAGTTCCCGGGGAAGAAGTACTGTTGGAGTGGCAAAACAACGCGGCCACCATCTTCGTACCGGAAGGCCCTGGTTTGGACACCTACCACGAATTGGTGGGAAAAATAGACCATGGAATACACAAAAATCCTAGCCGCCTACTGGAAGTGGGGGCGCCACCAAACAAAGAATGCGTGCAAGCACTACGCATGCAGCCGGGCGAATACCAATGTTGGCGCTACGCAAAAACTACATACAGGGGGAAAGAAAGGACCATTCTGTTCCTGTCCCCCCKATGCTCCGAGTGCGTATTGGAGGGCTGCACCGCGGAACACACAACCACGCCCGTCTGGGGACACTTCTTGCAGGCACAAAAAATAGACTGGGCGCAACCGCCGCCGCTATATTGCAAAATAGGCAGGGAAAAGACCACTGCCAACAAAAGAAAGGATAGAATAGTGCACGTCTCCACAAAGGGTGTCGATCCCCTTTCTACTCCATTTCCAAAATCTTAGAAGGCCTCTGTGGCGCCGGGCGTTCGTAGTAGACAACCTTTTCTGGTTGGTTGCGCGCCCAAAACAAGGCACCAATGCCCAAGACGGCAAATAGCACATTGCCGGCTATTTGCCAGTCTATTTTTGTGGATATTTCCTCCACTTCGTCCTCTAGGCCGCTGTCCTCTTCGCTTGCGTAGTACACCTCCGCTTGGTCCATCCTGGCCAACAACTTTTCGCGAAGTTCCTGTAGGTCGGCTACGTGGCCTATGCGCGCCAGCAATTCTTCCTTCGTAGCCTGGAGTTCCTCCCTGGCTTTCTGCAGGTCGTCCAAAACTATGGCAAAGGAATCCTGCACTTCCAGAAAATGTTTCTGCAGGTCCGTAGTTGGAGGCTTTTCGGGTATTGCTACCTGCGCATTGTTCTCCTGCTCTATCCTGCGTATCTTGGGTATACCCACACCATACTTTTTGGCTACCTTCTGCAGCCCTACTCCATTCCTGCGGTCTTCCAACAACTCTGCGATCTCTGCGTCGGATAGTATTTTGGGCGTTGCCATATATATGGGTGGATACACGTTTGGACAYATCCAGCTACCTGTTTGGACATATGGATCCATAGGGTATTCCATGGGCAACCATAGGTATAGACATGTATCTGTACATAGCCATAGGCATAGCCAGCTACATGCTGGGAAAGCAACGCACGATAGAAATCCTTTTGGACATCCTAGGAGGCTTGTACAGAGCACAGGAGACAATAGGCAACGCACGCATTCCGGGCTACGTAGCGGCACCATTGCGCATAGCCCTTCGACGGTAGGCGTGTGCAAACCCTACTTTTGGAACGCAATGCACTCTTCTATTTTGGGAAGCGTCGCAAACCACGACACACAAACCAGACATCTTTTGGAACATGGATCCACATCTTTTGGAACATGGATCCACATCTTTTGGAACATGGATCTGCATCCTTTGGAACACGCAAAAAAAGGTAGTCGAAACATGGTTGTCGAGGCAGTGACAATCCATACACTCTTCTAAGGTTTCTTTTATGGTAAGCCCTTGCGCGCTGTGGACTGTCATGCAATAGCCCAATCGCCAGTCTGGATGGGAGGTTATTTTTTCCACCTTTTCTATGGGTACCCAGGCTTTGTCGTGCGTTACTGCGTTCTCTAGTTGGATGTCGGTACCGGGTACTAAGACATCTTTTCTTTGCATGCGGGTGTCACGCGGCTTATAACAAACGGGCACCAAATGACTAGGGAACCGCTCCTGGTGTATTCTCAGTAGATCTTTTTGTATGCGCGACTGTGCTGCGCGCTTACTGCTCAGCACCAGATCCTTTGGATGCCATGAGTACAGGAAGTCTTCGTAAGACTTTGCTCGTACCCTCTTACGTAACACCTTAGATTGTTCGGCGTCGCTAAGGCCCCTTAATTCTGCCTTTAATTTCCTCACTTGATCCTTACTACGGTAGTCTGTGTTAATTTCTTCATGATAGTCTACCATTTCTTTTAACCATTCATGGGGCATTTCTCCGGMTATAGGAGGTGGTTGACATGGATCTCCGGCAAATACGACTTGGCACTTTCCGCGGAGGAAGTCTACGAACTCCTGCAGGATTTCCAAAGGTACGGTGCAAATCTCATCCCAAAGTATCACCGGAGGTATGTCATGGATGGCTTCTGGTACCCACTTTTGTCCATTCCAGCGAAAGAAGCTGTGGTAAGTTTGCGCGTCGTGGCCCATACCGCAGAGTTCCCTTTCCAAACGGTGCGTTGGCGTTAGCACCTTTATCTTAGGAAAGAGTTCTAACACACGCGTAGTCTTACCRCTGCCTCCCGTACCGTAAAGGTAAGAGAAGCGTTGGTAAGAGATTGGGTCCGCAACCGACGGTAATGGCTCTTCCGTCGGCGTTACGGTGCCCCGGGTGTGCTCGCCGTGATATTCTACGCGTTCTCTCCAAGCTTTTATTTCTTCATCTTTGACACGCCATTGACCACTTTCTGCGAGTTCGTCGTCGGTGTAGAATTCCTTCGTCTTTTCTAACACTTCGGGCTTTACGTACAAGGAATCCGTGGCTACGCGCGGAACGTCCTCTTTGTCGAACCGCAAGAGCATCGCGAGAAGGTTAATGTGCGCATATGTAAGCATGCTGGCACGCAGATGATAATACTGCGGTCGATGGTCTTGGTAGTAACACAAAGCATTCCATTTGTG